ACCACAAAGAAAGTCTTCTGCCACATGTGTTCATAGGTGCGTGCGTGGTGTGTGTGTGTGTGTGTGTGTGTGTGTGTGTGTGTGTGTGTGGTGGTGGGAGGAATTCCTTCCTTGATTTAGATTAGAGGCCACTTCCGGTTCTGCCCAACTGTTGGGAGAAACAGCCACCCTGAGGTCCTGGCCAAAAGAAACCTAGGGTTTTATTGAAACCTCAAGGACCGGCTGGGGCCGTAGTTCAGATGGCACTCCACTTACATGCCAAAAGCCTTGGGTTTGATCCTGTACACAACGTAAACCTGGCATTTGCACACACGGGTAATCCCAGCACACTGGAGGGGGAGGCAGGAGGAGAAGTTCAAGGTCATTCACAGCTACCTGGATGAGTTCAAAGCCACCCTGGGATACCTGAGACAAAACAGTCCTTTGTGGCTCCCCTCTGGGCCCCCTGTGTCTTTTAACCTGAGAACTCTGGATCTTATCTTGTTTGGGGCTCCACTAGCCCTGGGTATCTGCAGCCAGGACTCCTTTATTGGTCAGCCAGTAGAAAATCTGGGAGTTTGTCTAAGGTGAGGGATGATTTAGGGGTACCGAGTCCCAGTGTCTTGCTCCCTGTTCAGCTACTTCTCCTTTCTGAACATCTGAAGCCATCCAGAAAATGGAAAGTGTCCTTTATATGATGACTGTCAGGAGAAAGAAGAGAGGCAAAGCTCTCTGATCATTTGAGCACACCTAGGCCTGCTGGCCATTGCCACATCACCTATGACCAAGCAAAGATGGAGGTCCCAGGCCTGTGTCTCCTGGGTGAAGCAGGCCCTAAAGGGGAATGAGAAACCTTCAAGTCATCTATGTTTAACCCAATAACCAAGTGAGATGAGAATTACAGAGCTCCAGAAAAGAAGTCAGTTGGGAGCGAGAAACCAATGTGAAGGGCAGCTCACCAAGGGTCCTTAAAACCTGACCTTGGAGCTGAGTCTAAAGGGGAGAGTGTCCTGTCCCCACCCCCTGGGGACAGGCATCAACCCAGCAGTGGTAGACTCAGTGGTGATCATGACTGCCTGAGGCTCTGGTTGTCCCTCCTTGTCCCTGCCTTGATTCATAACGGTGTGGTCACTTCACACGTGTGTCAGCCTCCTGTAGAACCAGGACTGTTAACAGGCATTGTTAACACTAGTCCCATCAAGCCAGCACACTCAAATTCCTTTTCTCTAAACGCTGGGGGCTGACGTTGGGCTGAAAATCACTTCCTTCACAAAAGCCAAGCACTGAGCAAGTCAGCTTCGCTCCATCATGAGCTAGGTGGCCAAGAACTTGGCTTGAAGCAGTGTGGTTGAATGTGATCCGCAAGGACCAGTCATCTGGCATGAACTATGATGCCTATTCTTGGGAACAAAGGGGAGGGGCCTAACTCACCACTGATAGAGCACCAACTGCAAATCAGGTGTTTCTTTGGATGAAAATGGAAGAAATCTGAGGTGGTTTTCCAAGTGGCCTGGGAGTCAGAACTGTGACGCTGGCCCCTAGCAGCCCCTGGACAATCACTGAATGAACAGGACCCCTGCAGGATCTCTGAGGTCTTTGGGAGCACACAGGTCTCTCTGATCTGTCCTTGTGCTATACCCTCCCTTGTCAACCATAGTTCTCCACTCTGATCTAATGCTCTGAGTTGCTGCAGCTTCGGCCCCTCCCAGGGCTTGTAGTCTGGTGTGGTTTGTCCTTCTTGGGTTCATGCTTGGAAGCTTGGTCCCCGTGTGGTGATGGGAGGGGCTAAGAAACTGTAAGAGGTGTGGTCTAGTGAGAGGCGGTAGATCCTGATGGAAATGTTCCCCTCAGAAGAGATTCAGGTCATTCTCATGGAACCCTGGCTGTTCTCACTAGATCAACTTACTATAAAACAAGCAAGAAAACTATGGGCAGCTGAGTGATAGAGTATTTGCCTGCTATGCACAAGTGTTGTGGGAGTAGTCATTCCACCTATAACTTTGGAATGCCGACTTTAGGGCGTGACTTTTGTCTGTGGATGTGATCTCTTAAAAGAGAGACAGTGGCCACACGCTTCTTCCCGCCACAATTATACCTTGTCCTGTATCCATGAGTCTGTTTTCCCCGTAGCATCCCTTAACAAATTGATATATATAGATATAGATACACATACATATATGCATATATCTTTGTGGTTCTTGTAACACACAAGACCCTGGATGTCAACCCCAGCAGCACTAAATACGGTCCCTTCAAATCTCTAGCTTCTTAATTCCTGGGAGGTCTCTCCCTGTCACTCATTCCTACCATGATGTCATCGCCACAATGAGATATCACCCAGGACCTCATCACAGCCACCACCATGCTAAATGTACTTTAAGCCTTCAAAACTGACGAAAACAAACCTCTCCTACTTATTAGCTGTAGGAACAGGAAACAGACTGATAAACATGATCACCTGGTATTTGCCTAACTCGTTCCCTTTTAAACCATCCCTGGGCTTTCCCGGCTTATGTCCCCTTAATCACATTCACCTCCAGAGAGCTCATTTCTCCCCTCCAGCATGAAGCATGGCGCCTGGCACAGAGGAAGGTCTCCAATGAATAAATGAATGGCCCTTATTGTAGGCCTGAACTGGGAAAGTAGAGGGACTGGTCTGACCAATGACTGACCCTCATGACCAGGCCCCAGCAAACTCTGAGGAGGTCATCGAGATATGTTTGCGTATCTCTCATGGCAAAGCACATGCTGTGGAGAAGTAGGCACAAGTGCCAGGATGGGGGATGTCTTCCTCAGGCACGTCCAGCTTTGTGGAGCATGTGAACTTACAGGGAAAACTGGGCATTTGGCCTCTCACATGACTGAACAGTACTCTTTCTTTTTTAGGTTTTGAATTTACGGGAAAAACTGGGCATTTGGCCTCTCACATGACTGGACAGTACTCTTTCTTTTTTAGGTTTTTGGGGAAGAAAAAGTACCCTGACGACAGACTTGACTTCCTAGGAGTTTCCAACAACTGATTTTTCTAAATGTTTCCCACTTCTCCCAGAATCTTGGTGGTTGTTTAGAACTGACTTCTCCCAAAAGAAGGAAGATTGCAGAGTTGATGTGCTGAACTTGGGACAGCACCAAATCCAGCCTCCTCCCCTGGCCCCCATCAAAGATTTCCAGCAGAACTGGCCCAGTGACCGTCCTGCCCACTGCTAGGGACTGCTGAATCCAGGCAGGAAGTTCAGATGCAGGTTCCATCTGTGTGCCCCAGCCTACAGGGCTGGCGTATGAATTTCAGAAGCAAAAGAATAAGATAACCCCATTGTCCCTGTGCAGACCCACCTAGAGGGGTGGGAGGGGGCCCGACTGGAGGGCAGCTGTCCTCTCTGGAAGCAGCCATTGTCATGTGTTAGCTTGGCTGTGACAAAATAACCGAGAGAAGGGTGGTCAGAAGGATTTATCTGGCTGTGTGGCTCTGAGATTTAGAACATTACGCTAGAAGGGAGTGGTATAAGTAAACTATTCTCGTGATGGCGTTTGGGAACTGGAGGGACAGCCAGGAAGGAGTTGCAGATGAGGTATTTTTCTAGGTCACACCATTGGTGACCCTCTTCCTTCATCAGGCCTTACTTCTGGGTTCCCACCACTTCCCAGTGAGGTCATCATACTATGAATCCATCAAGGGATCAATTGATTGATTAGATCAGAGCCCTCAGGATCCAATTGGATGAGGATCAGAGCCCACCATATTGGGACCATGCCTTTAACACATGAACCTTTGGTGAGTTTCTCAACCAAACGGCAATAGCCCCTTGTGTGTAGCGATAGCCTTCTTCAGCTTTGGAGGGGATGTCAGGGACCATAAAGGTAGCAATTCCTATTAGAAGAACTTTAAGTCTGCCAGTAGCCTGCCCAAGGATCTGAACTGAACCCCTTGTCCTGTAGTCCCCGCTGCCTACTGACAGCTCCCTCCAGTATGACTGGAGAAGGACTCGGGCCGGAGGCCACACTAACACTTGGGGATACAGTACTAGTTATCCCTATAGGCAGGTTTATATAGTTTAAAATTATTATTAAAAGTGTGGTATTCATCAGCATGCTAAAACCTTCAGGAGCATGGGGTAGTAATGCAAGCCTGTAATCCTAGAGTTCCAGAGACTCAGAGGAGGGCCAGGAGTTTGAGGCCAGCCTTGGAATCTCAGTAGAAACCAAACTTTAAAAAAAATTGCATATAACTTTATGAAGTTGTTTTCAAATGGCAAAAATTTCAAAGTTAGTGGATCCCAGCTATTTGATTACTGATGATTGTTCAATAAAGGCCGAGAGGTCTCTTAGCCAGGGGCCTGTATTATGCTGTCACCAGGCTTCACTGTGCCATAAACACCTCCTGGCCACCTTCATTCACCAGTTCTTGGGTGAGCATCTCCCTGTGACCAGGGCCTGTAGATAGTGCGGCCGATTCCGAAGTTAGACCTCAATACTGAGGTGGGAGCCTTAGACGCTCTAAACGGGACTCTTACTGCCCTGGAGTTATGCTGCGAAGGATGCCAGAGGCATGGGCAGGTGTTAGGAGGCTCCAGCAGACGACCTAGCAGGTGAGTGTGCGTGATCGGCAGCCTAATCAAGCAGAGGAGATATTCTTGAGCTGTTTAGACAGAAGCTTTGGCAGTGCCAGGTGCCTGCTTAAGGAATCCTGTAGCACCGTCCATATGCCTCTACTTCTAGCGTTCTGTCTGTCACGCCCACCATGGTCGCCAGCTTTCTGTGTCTCCACCAAATACTGTAGCGAATCAGCTTTTGAAGAGAAAAGGTTGGTTCAGGCTCACAGTTTGGAGGTCTCGGGCTCTGGTTGGCCCTGCTGCTTCGGGCAAAGCCATGTGTCGTGGTGGATGTGCAGAGCAGAGCAAAACCAGTCAGTGCACAAGCAGGAAGTGAAGGAAAGAGAGCACCTGGGGCCCCTAGCTCTTTCTTAATGACCTAAATACTGCTTGCTAGCCCTGCCTTAAAGATGCCACATCCTCCCAGTGGTGCAATGGCAGGGACTACACCTTTACCCACAAGACCTCTGGGGAACACTGAGATCCAAACTACAGCACCCACTTTACTCCAGACTCCCAAAAAATGCCATGAAAAGTTGGGGTAGTTTATCAGCCCTTAACAGACTGATCGTCAGTGCTCAGCAAAACATAAGTTGCGTGCACACACAGACAAATGACGTTTCAGCTTTGTCAGTTCCTAACTCCTGATCCTTGCAGAGCCCAGGAGCCTCAGGCAAGTTGAGTCCTCTTCCAGGCCAGATGCCAGTGCTTCTTCTCCTCTCCGTCTCTCCAGAATTCCACGCGACTTGAAGACTGTCAGGAGAGAGGTGCTAAGACAGAGTCCAGGAGCCAGCGACAGGACAGAGGACGCCGGGTGTGTAACAACAGAAGTGGGTTTTCTCTTGCCCTGGCTCCTTGCTGGCTGTGCTACCCCAAGCAACTTATTAACCTCTCTTGACTTCTGTCCTCTTGACCATGAATTGAGGTTCACAGCCTCCGCCCACTGGATTCTTCAGTGAGACCCAGGTCATTTCAACAGCTCAAAGCAAATGGCTTCTGAGAGATAAAAATGCCCCTGGCTTTAGGAGATTGCCTATAACACACAAGATTAATGTATTACCTAAGATTTTATTAATTTTTTGGGTATACAGAGGTGTTGTGGGTGGGTTTTTTTAAAAAAAAAAAAAAAGAATAGCTCTGTTTCCCTAGGTAGATGGTACCGGATGTCCCAATTTCCATAAATAAAACCCTTCATTTCTCCTGGTTTTGAATAGTCAAAGGCTGCTTCCCTGGAGACAGGGCGGCTAATTTTTTTTTCTGTAGACATAAAAACTCTATTTAAGGAGCGTGCATTTTCCAGAGAAGCTAATGATAACCCTCGCCACCACCACAACGAGGGAGATACTGGTCCCACGTAATGTGGAGAGAGGGTGCTTTCTCTTTACAGAGAGAACACCCATCCGGCCAGATGTTTACAGCAACACTGCAGAGAGATTTCTTTTCGGCATTGGGCAATCAAGTTTCTCTTGCAGAGAATCCCAGGAAAGATGTTTAGAAGTCAGAGCCAGTATGCATAACCCACCCCCTGGTCTTGCCCCTGGAGCTGACATTCTCTGTACTGGAGAAGCCATTTCTAGTTTTATGGCGTGTCTATTGTCTTCCTGTGCAGCTGGCATTTAGGACTTACCGCTGCCAAGGACCCAGTCAAGTGCTTTTATGACCTCATTCACTCTCCCCAGCAACTCCTCTGGGGAGGTGCTATTATTGTCTTGATTTCAGAGATGAGGAAACTAAGGGTCAAAAAGTTTAGCAGTGTCCCCAAAGTCACTGGAGTGCTTTAACCAGGAAGAGATTCAAGCCTAGATTTGTGTGTAGAAGACGCCAACCTGATCTTTGTGCTTCCTGTCCTGTCTGTGGTGGCTTTGAACTGGGCAGGCTCCCACATGGGGCTGGTTAAGGCAGGGCCCCTGTCTAGGGAGCATTTTTACTCATTGCTGGCCTAAGCTCAACAAGACAATCAACAAACTCACCTCCAGGAACAAAAGACCTCTGCATAGGTCCTAGGTCCAAAGGGGATCCCCACATCTGATGCCGGAGGGTCCTAGATAGCCTCATGTCTATGTTCAGAAACATCAGAGAGGCCTTTGTAGAAGGTGAATTTGTGTGTGACATAATGGATACTGCCTGCATTCTGGTGAGTGCATTATTGCCAGTTTTGTCCTTGTGGGAGCATTCACACAGTCTAAGCCTGCTGTAGCATCACTGAGTGCTGGATTCCTAAGGGACCACCAGCGGGCATGTAGTTCATTGTTAGCCCACAGGTTCTGTGGTGTGTGACTCAGTCTGTTCCGTGCTGTGTAAACGGATTTGCATATAGATTCCTTAGGGAAAAAGGAAGAAGCCTTAAGCCGGTAGCAAGCCCCACCCTCTTGCTGATGATTTGTCACCCCGCCCCTCCATTATCTGTCCTACCACCCCTCAGTTTTACCACCCTGCTCCTTGGACCTGGCTTAGATTCCATGGCTTACTTGAGAAAGGGAACATGGCAGCTGTGATGCCCACCTGAGACTGGTCATAAGAAGCCCTGTAGCTCCTACCTGGTCTCTGTGAACGCCCCTTGGATGAGGGTACTACCATTTATTCATTCATCAGCATGAGCCTGCATACTGGAGGAAATGCAGGCATGTCCCATGATGCAGGATGAGCAGGAGAGAGGAAGCCCTGCCCCACCAGCCAGCAGCTAGCGCAGCTGAATTAGCAGACAGACACGGGAGCTTTGTTCCAGATCCCACGCCCACGCCCACGCCCACGCCCACCCTAACTGAGCTGTGGAGGGCTCCAGCCCCAGCAGTTACCAAATTACACGAGAGATGTCCAACATCACAGAAGAAAATGTGCGAATGCTTTAGAGTGCTAGAACTAGAACCATCGCAAAGTACTAGGAAGCCAGAACTTAGCCCCGCCCTCTGTCTTCAGGGTCCTCTGTTTCAGTGACTGATAAACCCACCCCCACTCCCTTCACCGCTGCCTGCCTGTGTCATTTTCCCCTGAAGGCCTCCAGCCTCTTCCTCATCAAGTTATCTAAGTCACCATTAGAGGCAATTGCTTGGGTGTCCACAGTCCCTACTGCATAGGACCCTCCCCTCCTTCACCCACTCCGTTCTCCCAGGCTATCTGCTCCTATGAGTTCCTCCAAAGTGCTGCTTATATGCAACCTCTTCAAAGACCCCCCTCTTTGAAGTCTGAGGCTCCCCCATTTGAGAGGGCTGAGAATGTAGTTTGTGCTGTGGAGTGCTTGCCTAACAGGCACGGAGCTCTGGGCTCTAGCCCTAGCAGTCATGTAAGCTGCCATGGTGGCGCATGCTTCTAATCTCAGCACGTGAGAGTGGAGACAGGAAGATCAGAAGTTAAGGTTATCCTCAACTACATATGGAGTTTGAGGCTAGCCTGGGCTACATGAGCCTCTGCCTGGGAGCAGGGCGCTGGACAAAAGATGTGAAATGTGTTTGAGTGGTCATCACATTGTCCTCTATAGCCTGAGTACCTTGACTTCCATTAGGAAGAAAATAGACACATCACAAAACCATGTTTATCAAGGAGACAGAAAGACACAGGTCAGTCTTAAAACCACACCATGAAGCCAAAGAGTCCAGACACAGAAGTGTGCGCTGTTGATTAAGACATCACAGTGCTGGTGCTGGTGGTGAAGCATAGCAGAAGTCCAGATGAAGATCTGCCCTGGAGGCAGAGGGGAAGGGGCAGGAAGATAGAGGCAGCCCCAGAGTCTGGGGGAGGGGTAACTTGGTTTCTTCCATGGGCAGTTCTAATAGAGCAGCTCACCCATTTTCTGGGTGGATGTTCTAATGAGTGTTGGGGGATCGGCTGTTCCACCGACCAATCGGTTTTCACATTCACTCTTTCTTGTCTCTTGGTCTTTTTTTGGTGAACTCCTATGGGTTTCTCTGACCTAGCCCAGCTTCCCCCTTCTTCAGGGCAGCCCTTTTCCTATCATATCAGACAGCTGTGGCCTCATAACAAACACAGCCATGAGGAAAGTGACTGAAAACAATGATTGTGGACTCACAGTTCTGTATTTGGGATGCTCATGAGCCAGAATGTCAGACTGGAGGACTCCATCCATACAGTACTCAGGGATAGAGCCATCAAGATATGACATAGGTCATCTGTCTAGGCCCCTCAGTGACTGGAAGGAGACCAGATGCATGTGGAGCTCAGGTAGTGATTGCCGGCGGGCACGGATTCTAATCCCAGCTCCACCGCCTCCTTCCTGTGCCGCTTTGGGCAGGCCTGAACTTCTGCCCCTGTGAAATGGACTCACAGCAAGTTTTCGAGGCAGTAAAGGGACACCATGTGCAGAGCTGCCCCCTACACATAGTAGGCACGCAGTAAGGACCCTCCACTCTCTTTCCGTCACAGGCTAATGTCACTTGGAGGTAAGAACAAGGCTAGTTCCCTGGTGAGAGGGGATCCTGAGGTGTTCAGTGTTGGTATCCTCAGTGCCACAGTGGCTATGGCCTGGGGCAGCTGTGACTAGGGTGTCCCTCTTCAGGTGCAGGTGCTGGGCCTGCAAGGTCCTCCCGCCACATTTTTGAGCTATTGCTGAGTCCACTAACAAGAAGCACTATTACAGTGTCTCCTTTGCTAAGTAGACAAACCCTCCAGGTGCCAGGTTAGCAAGGCTATATTAGCTTCATTTTAGGGCTTACCCTAGGGGGTGGGTCAGAGAGAGCTAGGCACCGTCTACCTCCAGCAGTGTGGAACACAGGGTGGAGTATGTTGGCATTAGTCCCTGTGGGGTGTGCAGGAGCTCTGCCTGCTTCCCCCTTCTTCCAAGCTTAGGAACTGGCTCACTCTCTAACCAGCTCCCCTGCCCTTGGGGTCATTCCCCAGCCTCAACAGGAAGCTAGAGAGAAGATGGGAAAGAGGAGGAACTTGGGGAGAGATGGGGTCAGTAGCAGTGACAGCAGGGACTCTGGTACTTATCTGAAGTCCCAGACTATCTGCCTAATGTGCTGTGCCCTATTCTAAGAATTTTTTTTTTTAAAAAAAAAAAAACCCTTCTATTGGAAGACCTGTCTATGGGATTATCTCTTGCCCCAGGGTCAGATCATTGCAGAAAGTCCATTGGGGAAAGCAGGAAGCTGGCTCCTGTCAGATGTCTGGTCCTGAGATCAGGCTTGGTCCTCCAGCATCCTCATCCACAAGGGGCATTGTGTGTGCCACACCTCTAGTTGCAGGACCTTTGCCAGCATCACAACAAGAAGCCACTTCTCCCAAGAAGATGGAGACCTCACTTCAGGGCCACAGGGTCTCACTGCAGTGTGGGGACAGGTGTGGAGTCTCAGTCCTGCTTGATCCTGACAGGATGTGGGACAACTGTGTCCATAGACCATTCCTGGTCTTATGGCTCATTGATTTCATAGCAGAATTCATCTCCCAGTTCTGTACTTCTCAGGGGGCTGCTGGGTACTCAGTGGAGATGCCACAGGGTACGTTCATGACAATGAGGCCACAAATAAGGGTGTGCCATCTGAATCACAGTGACACTCAAGAGGGAGATGCGGGGAAGTACTTGGCATGGACAGGAATCTAGAGCTGTGGATAGAAGGAACCAAAGGCTGGGAATTATGAAGATGGAAGGTTATCCAAGTGTGGACAGGGGGGTCTGACTATGGCGATAAAGACTGGCTTTATGGGAGTGGTGGTGGGAAAGGGGACAGTCAGCAGTCCAGACTTTCCCATCTGTCCCCCTTTGTGGACTGTCTCCATCTTCCCAGGGTTTCTTGAGTCCTCCATCACTTCCTTCCTTCCCTTCCCAACTCCTTCACCAAGACCCATTGGTACTCATTCTATCAGGGCACACGTGGTCCCATGCCAGTCCCTGCTTCCAGCACCATGGGACAGTAGGAAAGAAAGGGGACAATTTTTCATGCTCCAGGTGGATGGGGACAGGCATGGCTGTAAGAACTCTTGTCTCGTGGAGTTAGACTTCCTTCCCTCATGTCTCCATTTTAACTCCACCCAGGAGATTTGCTTTGTTCTATGGACATTAACAATTGTGATCCACTCGGAGACTTAAATAGTACTTGTGCATTCAGATTTTTTGCCTGACTTTGGGTTTCTTGGAATTCTGAGACCAAGTGGTGCAGAGCCCAGGTGAGTCAACCACCGAGGCCATGTGGAACTGCCCCAGCAACTGTGAGCCAGCCCATGTGAGGCCTGCTAGATCATCCAGCCCTGGA